AAAAGAACTGTCATAAAAGAGCTACCATATAAGATGAATCATTTCTGTGTCTGGCTACTTCACAATACTTAAAGGTTACTGTTTGCACCGGGTCCGAACTAGGCAGCCCTGTTTGTACTAAGCTGAAGCCCGTCCAGGGCCTGCATGTGCTTCCCTGCACATCCCAAAGGTCAGCAGCAGATGGCGCCAGATAAGATAACCAGTGAAACCAGATGCTCTGGGTTCAAAGAAAGCCACAAGGAGTCCACAAGCAATTCTAGGGGTTTCCAGACCCCATATGCTAATTGCCTCACCACCCCTTTAAAAACCCTCGCCCCCAGCTGCTGAGCACGACTTCCCTGACCTGTTGGCCTAGGTCACAGAATCTCGTCTGTCCCATCCGGGAGCTCCTCCTAATAACGCTATTTGTTTCGGTTCTCCCTTGTTCTGTCAGTTATGTCCGTGTTTCCCTGTACCTCAGTTTCACCTTTACAGTTACCTGCAGATAAAAGCAGTCAGGTCCTATAGCCAACCCATCTTATGTACGAGTCCCCAATAAAATGATTTTTAAAAAGCTAGTAAAGTCTGTTAATGTACTTTAGAACTATTCTGATTACTATTATTAAAAAAATAATTTGATAAACTAAAAAAAAAAAGAATAGTGTTGATGGTGGGTGTTTCTTCAGTGCCTTCACTCAGGTTAAGCAAGTCTTTTTTCTTTACAAGTTTGCTAAGAATTTTTATAGTGAATGGATGTTAAATTGTGTCACATGCCCTTTTTGCAGCTATTGAAATGATAATATGTTTTTTCTCTGCAACTGTTATTTTAGTATGCTATATTAATTGATTTTATTTATTTTTGAAAAATTATTTTATTGAGGGCTTATTAATTGATTTTAAGATGTGAAACCAACCTTTTATTTTTAGGATGAACTCTAAATAGCATCAATAAATTATCATTTTTATATTTTGCTGTTGAACTGTATAATATGTGAGTCATGTTTGGGCCGGGTCCAGGCTAGGCAGCCCCCATCTCCTCTCCGGCTCCTCAGGAAGACAGAACTTCAAGGCCCCCGTTTCCAGCCTCTCGGGAGGATGAATGACCTATTGAAGTCTGCATCTTCTGCCCCAGCATTCCAAGGAGCTTATCTCTCCAGACCAAGGCTGTGCAGGCCCTGTCCCAGCACTCCAGGGAGTAGACTGGCAAACAACAAAGGCACTTCCCACGGATCGCATCCTGACTCAAGGTCCTGCAGCTGCAAGCAAAAAATCTCCCTTCTTGTTGTCAACGTACACCTCCCTAGCTCGAGCCCTATATATCTCCCACCGCCTCATGGACAAGCTGTGATTTCCCTGACCCAACTCGCTGGGTTTCGGAACCGCCCAGGAGCTCAGGATGCTCCTGCCCCTCTCTCTGCTCTCCCTTCCCTCCGGGAGCTCTTTCCCTGCCCTAATGCTCTTTGTCTCTCAAGTTGTATGTCAATAACACGGTTAGAAATTTAAAAAAAAGTAGCAGACTGTTTTGACATCTCTTGCTGATACTGAGCAGTTACTCCCCCTGGGGAGGGCTGTGGGGGAGGGATATGTTGAGGCCAACTAGAACTAGGTCAAAACACGGACTTATCTTATTGCTTGTTTATTATGTTGCCTACTTATGATATGACCTATGTTAGCTGTAGGACATGCATGCGTCATGAAAGATCTGTAAGCCCCATTCTATACACCCACTGGAAAATACATTCTCTCAGTCCTAACATGGGATGAGGATCCCTGGTGTCCTGCTGCCTGTCTTTAACATTTTCTACAATCCCAAGTCTTGGGGACTCTGTCACCCTGACAGGAGGTGTTGCAAAGATTATTAGTAAGTTTATCTGTTCCTACATTTCTCCAGTCCTTTACACCAGTGGTTCTCAACCTTCATCATGCCACAACCCTTTCATACAGTTCTGCATGTTGTGGCGACTCCCCCATACCATAAAATTATTTGTTGCTACTTCATAACTGTAATTTTGCTATTGTGATGAATTGGGCAACCCCTGAACCCCTACGAAAGGGTCGTTCGACCCCAAAGGGGTGGAGGCCCACAGGGCGGGACCCACTGCTTTAGCTCTTCATCCCCTGAAGGGTCAATGCACCCTTGTTTACTCTCTGAGTCAGGGCATCCCTGATGATTGAGTTAAGATTAAAGGGAATTTACTGCAAAGGGGTGGTGGTGGTGGTGGTTGTGTGTGTGTTAGGGGGTTGTTATATTTTGGATTTTTAACGGACTATATCTTAAATTATGTTCTGTTTCTAGTATTGATTTTCCCTATTTCACTCCGAAGTGCGCTATGCTTTGGCACACTGGTACTTCTAGGTGGGGCTATCTAATCCAATTTGGAAAGCAGGTACTTCCTAGAGATCAGACTAGGGTCTTGGATTTAAAGTTGCCCAGGAAGGAAGTGCATTCGGACAGAGTATGGGATATCAGGGGACCCAATGACCCTCTGAATTTACTACTGTGGCAAGGTACAGGCAGGAAAGGGTTGCCGTTCCAAGTGGAGAGACAGGCAGTGGCCAGATTACAACTGGCTTTTAGGTTGCATTAGCTGGAATAAACCTCTCCAACCAGACAGCTGCTTCCTTCACCAGACTGGATTGGCAAGAGCAGGGGCTCTGTGTATGATGCTGAATTAGGCATATCGCCCACTCCCTGCTATAAAGTCAATTCTGGCTCACAGACACCCTATAGGGCAGAGTAGAGCTGCCCCTACGGGTTTCTGAGACTGTTCATCTTTACGAGAGTAGAATCTCAATTTTCTCCCACGGAGTGGCCGGTGGGTTCAAACTACAAACCTTGTAGTTAGCAGCCCTTAGGCGTAAACCAACTAAACCACAGCTCCCAGTTATGCAATGAATATTTATACAACATAGTTTGTGGATGCAGAAGACCTAAAAGCTCAAACCCCCCAAATGCCTTGAGAAACACGGAGACTGTGAGATGACTTTCAGTTTCTGAAGCCAGCGGAGGATGAATGATGTGTAGTAGAATCAAAAGGGAGCCCAGGGGCCCTATCTGAAGTCTGGATTTGATTTTCTCCACCAAACCACTGCGATGGAGTCAATTCTGACTTACAGGGACACGATGCCACGAAGCCCTACTTTCTTGGCAACAATTCTCACAGGTTGTAGTGATTTCTCTTCCTTGCTTTATGACTTCCTCCAACAGCTGCGTGCACCTTGACAGCAAGGTTCGAGTCTGTTTTGGTCTAATTGTCCTCGAAGTTCAGCCGATCTGTAGGAATGGTGACTTGGAAAGGGCCCGGGCGGCACCTTCTGTTCCTCTAACAGTGGTTTTCCACCTTCCTCATGCCACGACCCTTTAATACAGTTCCTTATGTTGTGGTGACCCCCCCAACCATACACTTATTATTTTTTAATCGTTTTAGTAGGGGCTCATACAACTCACTAATTGTGTAAAGCACATTTGTACATTCATTGCCCCATGAAACTATTTTCGTTGGGACTTCACTGTCATTTTGCTACTGGGGTGAATCGGGCGACCCCTGTGAAAGGGTCGTTCGACCCACAGGTTGAGAGCGGCTGCGTCTAACCTCAGTGAGCAGACACAGACGGCTGGAAAGGGCAGGGGCCCAGGGGCCCAGGGTAGAACCCAGCCCGCGAATGGGCAGGGCCACGAGCTAGGTCGGCCCGGGGACAGGCGCAGGAAGCACAGCCGGCTGGGGCTCGCGGAGGGCAGCGCAGCGTGGCATGCTGGGAGCTGTAGGCGCTTTGTTTCCGTCTCCCACTCCTTGCTCTGGAAATCCAAGGACGGGTCAGTGGCGGGCGGCGGAGACCTCAGCCTTTGAGCGCGGGGCTGTGACTTCCACAGACTCGCTTTCCCGGCGGCCCGCGAGGACGACGTCTCCCGGGAGGCGGGACTTCCGGCGCGCAGTGCACTCTGGGACTTACAGTCCGGCGCAGTGCGTTCCGGGCGTCCCCGCGGCCGCGGGGCTGCGGACGGACTACAGTTCCCTGCGGCCCGCTGCCGGCCTGGGGTCTCCTTGGCGCCAGGCGCTTGCGATCAGAGTGTCTCCAAGATGGCCGCTTGGGGAAGGAGGCGCCTGGGCCCGAGCAGCAGCGGCAGCAGCACCCGAGAGAGGTTCGGTTTGGTGGTGGTTGCCCCCCCGGGGGAGGCCGCTCAGGAGTCGGGGAGCCCCCTGGGGGGTCCTGGGCTACAGCGTCCGCCCCGCCTGGGGCGCAGTCACCCCGCCCGCCCTCCTCGGTGCCCACCGGGAC